TTTCCCGACCACCCTGAGATCCACACATTCAGAAAATTGACGACTACGACACACAAATTGTTATCACAGAGAAACAGCAGCAGCTGTCTTTTTTGAGGGATTTTCTTTTCTCATTGAAAGGTCCTCGTTCTGTACTCTTGAAGTTGGTTAGACCTGGATTGACGAGAGGATGCTGTTAGCGTGGAAGTGGGGCCGCTGTGCCGCACGGGGATGTGGGCAGCATGGGCTCAAGGCGCTAGCCTTACCACACACACAGCCCCAGTGCGAGGATGGTATCCCCACCTGCGTCCAGCACCGTCGTCTGGTATCAATGGTTGAGGTGCGTAAAGTGGGGATAGATGCGGGTAAGGTAGCAGCCAGGAAAAGTGAAGGCTTTGTTTCCGTCCTGTCCCAGATATGAAGTACTAGGTTGTACCAGGTACTAGGTATGAAGTAGTCCCAGATACAAAGTAAGCACTGACTGTTAAGTAGTGATTGCTACCGTCTTCCCCCGAACACAACGCACCCTCATTTTGACTGTATCGGGTTGGAAACGTACGTTGTATATGTTCATTTTCAGGGTGCGTTATGTTCGGGAGAAGACGGTAGATCAATGTGTAAGGCGTGTCAAGTGGGGATGGATGTGGGTAGGGGAGGAGCCAGGAATGTCATGGCTTTGTTTCCTGTTCCAGATGCGAAGTACTAGTACTAAGTTATACCCGGCTACTAAGCACTGGTACTCAGTTGTCCCCTAGTACTAAGTACTAAGTTGTCCCAGATACTGAGTGGCAGTGAGTGCTATGTTATCCCAGATACTAAGTGCTAAGTTGTCCCAGGTACTAAGTACTAGTACTAAGTTGTCCCCAAGTACTAAGCACTAAGTTGTCCCAGATACTGAGTGCTAAGTTGTCCTAGATACTAAGTGCCAAGTTGTCCCAGATACTAAGTGCTAAGTTGTCCCAGATACTAAGTGCTTAGTTGTCCCAGGTACTAAGCACTGGTACTAAGTTGTCCCCAAGTACTAAGTACTAGTACTAAGTACTAAGTTGTCCCAGATACTGAGTGGCAGTGAGTGCTAACTTGTCCCAGATACTAAGTGCTAAGGTGTCCCAGGTACTAAGTACTAGTACTAAGTTGTCCCAGATACTGAGTGCTAAGTTGTCCCAGATATTAAGTGCTAAGTTGTCCCAGATATTAAGTGCTAAGTTGTCCCAGATATTAAGTGCTAAGTTGTCCCAGATATTAAGTGCTAAGTTGTCCAAGATACTAAGTCCTAAGTTGTCCCAGATACTAAGTGCTAAGTTGTCCCAGGTACTAAGTAGTAGTACTAAGTTGTCCCCAAGTACTATGTTGTCCCAGAACTGAGTGCCAAGTTGTCCCAGATACTAAGTGCTAAGTTGTCCCAGATACTAAGTGAGTTGTCCCAGGTACTACGTGCTAAGTCCTGGGTGCTAAGAACTAGTAGTGCCAGATACTAAGTACTAAGTTGTGCCCCGATACCAAGTGCTAAGTACTAGTACTAAGTTCTCCCAGGTACTAAGTACTAAGTTGTTGATGCCAACACTGTGGTGTCGCGTATTGTGTGTGTCTGTTGGGATCTGGTGTGGCGGCACTGCTGTGCAGGATAGTAAAGATGCCAGACACCTGAAGACGTACGAGGTCCTTCTGAAGGACAAAGATTTTACAGATGGCCCATGGATGCAGCCGAATGTGGAAAGTGGGGCGGGGATGATCATCCCTGTCCCGACGCCGCTTGGCGGGGTCATCATCGTTGGGGAGCAGCTCATAATGTACCATGACGGCACCTCCTTCAAGACCATTCCAATACGCCCGGTAGGTACTATATCGTGTACCCTCAATCACAAACCATGCTGCACCGTTTTCCTTTCATTTCCTGGTTTGTCACCGGGGGCAAGGTCCCACTAGCAAAGAGGATTGGATTGAGCTCTCCTGAATGTGGATGTGTTGCACCGATGCAGAAATGCAGTTCAGTCTCGATTTTCTGCACCTCTCCACGAAAACGTCCAGATTCAGGCATTCGATCCAATTCTCTTTGCTGCTAGGACCTCCCCGCGGCATCGCAGAGAAGGAATTCTGAATTTTTGAAATAATTTTGTGATCTATTGACCACTGTGTGTCATTCAGCGTAACAGCAATGTGCAAGGCTCTTTTACTCTTCCCTGAGTCCCTCCCCCCTCCCCGCCGCCCCTCTTCTTTTTCCCCATTCAAGTGGCCTTTCAAAAACAAATAACGAAGATTAGTTGATATTTGTCGTTAAGTGACGTGAATGTTTCAACGAGGTATGGTGCGGTCCAGTTGTTTTTTTCATGTTTTTCTTTGCCTCCTCCCCCCCCCTTCCGACCACGGAGATTGCCGGTCAATGTGTTTTATGGAACTTCTCCTTGTGCTCTGATGATTTCTGTTTTTTTTTTTTTTGTGTGTTGCAAATCAACGGTTTTTGGGTTTTCAGTCGGTGACCAAGGCGTATGGACGTGTGGATGCGGATGGGTCGAGATACCTACTCAGCGATCAGAACAATCTCCACCTGCTTGTGCTCGATCACGACAAGGAAAGGTATTTACTATGTACTGTGTACTATGTACTCTGCACTTTGTACTCTGTACTACGAAATATGTACTGTCCTATGTACTATGTAATATGTACTGTCCTATGTACTGTGTGGTATATGCTATGTGCTATGTATCTCTTTCTCTCTCTCTCTCTGTGGTGTCGTGCCACACTGTTTGGTATTTCATTCCTTTTTTTTTCCTCTCTTTCTCTACTATGTACTGTGTACTGTGTACTCTATTCTATGCAGTTTGTACGATGAAGCTCTCTGTGTGTGTGTGTGTGTGTGTGTGTGTGTGTGTGTGTGTGTGGTGTCTTGCTGCACATTGATTGGCATTTCATGCCTCTCTCTCTCTCTCTCTCTCTCTCTCTCTCTCTCTCTCTCTTTCTTTCGCCTTCTGGTTTCTCTGTATTTCCCTTCTTGTTGTCGCTCTTTTATTTATATGGCGACAATTGAAGGATCTTTTATACGTCACTCGTTGTCAAACTTTGTTTCACCCAAGTGCTTTCTCTTCGACCCTTTCATGAAAGTGCAGGACCACCCAAGTGCTTTCTCTTCGACCCTTTCATGAAAGTGCAGGACCTACCTGTATTTTGTACTCCACTGACTCTTGCAAGCCTCCAGGCACACAACCCGCAAAGAATTTGCCGTTACGGAGAACCTATTCCTTCTTCGATCTTTGATGCGGTCTTCTTATACAACCCGCAAATATTTGCTGAACGACTTAATCCAATATATTTTTAATTTTTTGAATATAAAAGAATTAAGTAAGCTCATTTGACTTTAGAAGAGGTTCTTACCTCTATGGAAGTTAACTTTACCTTGTAATTTATGCCTGCCTTTACCGTGGTAAGATAACTTAACCTTGTAATTTATGCCTGCCTTCACCGTGTTGATAGCTCGTTCATTACGAAGGTTAAGGTAACTTGATATAAAAGAATTAAGCAAGCACATTTGAGTTCAGAATAGGTTCTTACCTCTATGGAAGTTAACCTTGTAACTTATGCCTCCCTTCACCGTGTTGATAGTGTTCACTACCTCTTGTAAGTTCGATAGAGGAGAGAAGGTTACGTTGTCTTACTTATTATTAATTGATTTTCTAAAGGCTATATTACATTTGTTTTTGAATGATCCTCTTAACATTTCTCTTGTTTTTTTTTTTTTGTATGAATGTTCGCTGATCTTTGTTTCTCGTTTGTTTGTTGCTTGTTTGTCGCTTGTTTGTCGTTCGCTTGTCGTTTGTTTGTCGGTTGTCGGTCGTTTGTGTTGTTTGTTTGTCGTTTGTTTGTCGGTTGTCGGTCGTCTGTGTGCCGTTTGTTTGTCGTTTGTTTGTTCTTTTTCTTATTTCTCACTTATGCAGAGTGCTTGGACTGAAGATCGAGCCCCTTGGAGAGACCTCCTGTGCCTCCACCATATCTTATTTAGATAATGGGGTGGTCTTTATAGGATCATGCTTCGGCGACTCACAGGCAAGCACCCATGACTGGGCTCAGCTGAGTTTTGTTTCTTACTAGATTGTTGCTCGCTTCGGCTGCTTGGCATTTCTGTTGTTGAAGAGAACAAGTCTGAACTGAGTGACAAACGAGGGGACAAGGGCACTTTACCAGACGTACCTGACTGCGCATAAGACTAGATGCGCTGGAAGAATTTCTAACTTCTGGTCTGTTGTTGAAGTTAGCAAGCCTCATCTGGCTGAGTCCTTTTTTGAGTTCTCTGGCACTTGGATCTCAGGATGATATAAACAAGGACCCAAGGCGCTCGTACCTTACCGCAACTAAGACCAGATTCATTGGAAGAAAACTTTGGTTAGTATAAGAAGAAGATAGGATGCATCTGGACACAATTATGTCCAGGTATGGTCGAGGACGAAGTTGATGCGGTCTGTCATCAAGTATCTGAAAGATATATTTTGAGGACATTTATTTACAATGACTTTCTGCATGTATGTCACTGGAATGACCTCCAGGTTTGTTCAGAAAAGTTGTGCAAGGTGATTTACTTGGAACTACATCCAGGTTCATTCAGCAAAGTCGTAGTTCAAGTGTGCACTGGAATTGAGATAGGTAATAGCTGGGATGCAGTCAGCGCACCCTTTTTTTTTTTTTTTTTTTTTTTCAAGCCTACCACTCTGAGTGTGGGCATGGATGTAAGTTGGCATGGATGCCCTCACCCCCCTGCTTTGAGCTTTGAGTTTGGCCATGGCTGACAGTCAAGTCCCGGGAAAGGGTCCAATTTCTGGTGGCTGGGTGTACCCACCTGAAACTGGGTAG